CCCAATGATTCAATTAATTTACAAGACCAACACAGCTGCATTTACAAAATCAGTTCCAAGGAATGTCCAGCTGAATATATTAGACAAACATCAAAACAGCTTGAGATCAGAAGAGTGGAGCACAAAAGAAAAGAAAAATGCAAGCCTTCCAACATGACACCCTTAGGGAAACTAGAGCGGGATTCAGCGATCGCTCTTCACATCATTGATGAAGGGCACATTATAGACTACGAAAACACAAAAATCCTCCAACACGGACTGAGACACATGAACTGAGCGTTTGTATGCCGAAGCTCTGACAGCTATGCCCACCCTGTATGCGTCAACCGAAATGACGGGGCAGTGGTTCCCAAGACTTCGGACCACACTGACATCACTAATGAATAAGCAGCCCAAAGGTCACATCGACAGTTGACCTCGTCATCATGGACTCGGATACTGGGACCCAGTGTGACTACAATTCATTCGATCTGATCGAGGAACAAATTCGCACACACACACACACAAACTTCCGTTGACATGTTAGTGGATACTTAGTCATTTGATTGTAAAAACTGCCTTGTGAAAGGTTGACCACGACAGCCGAAAGGTCGACTCATAATTACCCCCGTGACAACGACGTGTTATCGACATTTTCTCGTTTAACACATCACATGGCGTATCGTTTTTCCGGTTCTCTCTAAACCTCGTTCGGTTCCGACATGTTGATTAGCCCCACGCCTTCTGTCTAACTGCTTAAAATACGACAGCTTGTGAGTGTACTTCAAAATGAAGATTGAGTGTCGTTTGCAAACTTTACAGTCAAACCGGAACCATGGGGAAGTAAAGTGCCTCGCAGGAACGCTCCTCCGAGGCACCTATTGAGAGGGAAAGATCGATTGCAGTGTTGACTAGTTATTATTGTGCATCCGCATAGTGGCCCAGGCACACCACTCTGATTGGAGTAAGAATGTTGATGAAGCAAACATCACATGACCGATCTGCCAATGGGGGCATGCGCAACACTCTTACGTGCTACATCCAGTCTGTGAAGAGGCTTGAAATTTTGTACCAAAAATCCAGACCGACTCAGTTGTTCTAGCCAATCGAGGCCTATCAGGGCTTGTCACTAGAACCTTTTATGGACGAGCTTGATATCACGATATGACGAACTTGACTGAGGGAAGCTGCAGGTCTGGGAGGAAGAGGTCTCTGCATCCGAACCCCGCTGGTACATTAGCACCAAACTGGATGCCTGTCTATGGTGTCAGGTGACTGCAATCCATTCCTGCTCATCAGGAATTGACAATTCTTTCCCTACACGAATCTGATTAAAGAAGCTAAAAACATTGGTTTGAACACTGTATCCAGGACTGATTCACTGTACTTTCACAGAGGGCTTACTGCAGTTACGGTAATTGTTCATAAGGTCAAGAAAAACAAGCATTAAGAGACGAAATTCCGAACGATATCCAACGATCATGGGAAACAAGGAGAGGTTGATTGAAATGAGTGTTAAATAGGCAGAGATGAAGAGAGCAACCATTCACGTTACTTGCATGGATCAGGGTTTTGGTTGCAAATAATGAGTGGTCTAAGCTTATTGAGTAATCATCGTTTGCTGCTGAGGTAGATGACCTCCAGTGTCTTTTGTGGAACGAGACAACACTACAGGAAGAAGAGTCGTTGCGTCAATCTGTCGGAAACCGTGCAACGAAGATCAAAATAAATAGCAAACCAGATTGTGAACACGTTCCAAGATTTGGTCCACACGGACCACGTGACCGAACATTAGGCAGCCGGAGATTTGGTCGCTGGATGTTTGGTCGCCATACATTTAGTCGAATTGACAATAAACAAACTTGTAATTAACATAACCTATTGTGTTTCTCTGAAAATAAAACCTTGTTTTGTATTTAATTTTGCTTCAAAAATTCCACTAGGGTTTATTTTCGCTTTAGGCTTATTGCAATTGGACAGTCCGGTGCAACTTCGTGAAACACTCTTTTTGCTTCATTTGCACTCCCCGGTCTTTCCTTTTTCGTTAACCTTGTGCATTTGAATGTCCAATTTCACTACTCTTATCGTTATAAGATTGCCTTTCCAATAGATCCTAACGGGCTGACATACGTTATAACTCGTTGAGTCCCTTAATTACCGTATCAGGCGCTGATTATCAATTTATTATTTATAAATTTTTATGATAAATTATGTGACATCAGCAATGATCAGTAATCTTTCTAGACCTATTATAGAAAGAAGTGGTCGCATTCCACCGCGGATTGGCTATTATCAACCGACAACACTGAGTTTCGATAGTATAACATCTATTTGAAACATAACGTATGGTGCATCAATTGGCTGATACATTCATAACCCCGTTCAGCCTAAATGATGCTAACCATTAGGTTAGCACTGGACACCTAAAACTAATCTGCTAACATCATAACTAACCCAACGTGGCCTCTCGCATGTACACTTGGACAACAATAGAAATACGTGAACAGTAGTTTTTTATAGGTCATGAGCAGTTTTACGTGAAAAATTGTACATGACTGTGCTCGTCGTGCAGCTCAGCTAAACGATGCAAGCGGTAATTGATGGGCAAATATTTGTTTATCGTTGGTGTTTTATGTGTGCCGGATGCTAGTTGCTCCATTTAGGGAACATCTATACATGTTAGGGTTGTGGGAGTTTTTTCAATGCCGTTCATCACAGCTGTCTCATGATTAATTGTTACGGAAATATAGTTGAGTTTGGGTTCTTCTCGTTTGAGCGTCTCAAAAATCACATCATACATAGCTTGCGTTCCGCTATGGAAAATACAATAAACCGGCGGAACTGTGTGGTTCCCACTCAATGCGGCGTGAATTATGTACAGCTGTATTGAAACAATGTCGATCACGTTCACGTATTAGAGTGACACCGGACACGATGCTAGCTGGGGGAGGTAAGGTTAGATCGTCTGCAAGCAGAGCAGTCAATGTGTGTTTTTCAGTTGGCAGAAACCAATTGTCGTTGCAGTAAGCAGACAAACAACGGACAATCCTGTGGCATCGAACTGCAGGCGAACTGCCAACAGTTAAGTACTAATAAGTTATGTTTATCTGCAATCAATTTTGTTCGTGAATTTACACAGGCAAGCTCCATCATCTCCAGATCGCTAAGTGTTCATTTAGGGAAGGCCTTATTGCTGGATACGACAAACTGGAATCACTGGTTCCACAGGAAATGCAGGATTTGGAAATTTATTACCATATCCCAGAAGATGACATAACTGTATTTGAATAAAAGTAGAGTTTTGTTCCTCCATAAATTTCCTCTTTGGTATCTGAAAAATAATACGCACCTGAGAATAAGTTTTAGTGCAATCTTTGAGGCAAAATAAAATATAAGACCGGGCATACCTTCGGGGAAACACGGTAGTATATGTTGATTGAAAGTTTATCGATCAAATGTCCAATCGCCGAACTGTTCGATGATGACATGTCCAGTGACCAGTTGTGTGACGGCCAAAAGTCTGGAACCCACGGATCATGTATAGCACCGGACACTCAATACGTTCGCCATCCTCATTCCTTCTCTGTACTGCTGGCCATCACACATAGTACGTCATGTGACCTTGACTCTCGAATTAGATCTGCTGTGTTTGGAATTCAGAGAACACAGTACGCAATAGATCCGTCTATTAGTATATCAATAAACGCGCACGTAAGCCGACAAAGGGGCAAACAAGTGAATCATCCACTGGCAAGCGCAAGCATAATAATGTGTCAAGCGAATAGGAACAACAGATCAATGTTAGTCACACGTGCACCTAACCGCATGTGATTGGTAAAGAAGATCGAAGAAGAGCGTGGGATAGACAGACATCGCTCACGCGAATGCAAGGTCAACGGGACCGGAATGAATCACGTGCGAATGTCAACGACACATGGGTTGGCCACACAACAAGGCCATATCATTGTTTACCTTGTTTTATACTGACAGTTATTGGTCTGAACCCGTCTCCGTGAGATGTGCTCAGAATACAAACTTCCGCTTACGTTCTAATTGCTGATTTTTGATATAACAGAGAGGATAGCAGCAAGTTAAAACAAAGACAAACTTATCCTGAGAAGACTGGACAGAATCGATACCCTGAATGTTGTAGTTCAATGACAATGAAATGGAATATACTCGTGGAGAAAAATCGGTGACTTAGCACTTAAGTCATTATTGCTCGAAGGCAGTTGTCATCAAGACAGCGCGCACACGAATGCTCTTTCATTACAAGGCGAGGAGCGTAAACGTTTTATTTGCATCTAGTGTTGACCAATCCTATTCACAATGTTGATATCTGGCTAGCCCAAAAACACACCTGTCTGATTACACTCTGAGGTTAGGTGCTTCAGAGAAATCGACTGTCTAACACCACGTCAAACGTAATCCAACCTGGTCATCCCACTCATACTCATAAATGAAGACATAACACTTCGTTTTGTGAGTACCAATCAATTCTGGGGAAATTACGCATTAAACCGCGTTGAAATTTCATGCTTTTCTGTGTTTTGACTCTAGTTCCTTGAAATTGATATGTAATTTATTTGGCTGAGTAATTTGCTTAGTTTTTTAAAATCCTGATTGGAATTGCTATTTTCAAACAGGCTTGGATGCATCAACAGGCCACAATCGCGGCAGCTTCCACTACGGGACGTAATCTGTCTGAATGTCTGCACCTTGTGAACCAGTTCAGTCATTTTGCCAGTCACGTCCTCGGGATCCCACTCCAATCGCTGACTCATCCTGAGGAGGCACAAACCTCGATTGAAGAGGAAGCGAATGCATTGATTCCTGAAGTAGATGGAGAATCAATGCTTGGGCTCACCGGGGGTGCTCTACGAATGGCTAGAGTGGTCAACATGTGTCGTTGTTTGATCCGCACGCGACATTCCGATGCCCCACAGATTGTATTCTGGCAAGATCGACTGACAGAGACTTGGGCGGATCTGAATGAACTAATCCGAACACGTTGGGTTCAGTTGATTTACGCGGTTCGACGTCATACATATTTGGCTCGATGTGAGGTAAATATATTCGGTAAAGCAATAAGATGAGATCAGTTAGAACATATCTTCAATGCTGTATTGACTTGTGGGAAAGGTTGTTTCGTTAGTGCGCCGGACGGTGGTCCATTGGTTGAGTAGCTCGTAGAACACGAACCACGTTTCTTTAGCCAGAGAACGCAAATTCGGTAATCAACGTATGCTACCAAAGAATAACATTCAAGCACAAGTGGATATATACATCGGTTTCTGGGCTACTCAGTCATAAAATACATACGAGGCATGCAGATAGAATCACTCGTCAAATGGGGTAGCAAGTAGAAGCCGGAAGGGATAAGGGCTATGTTAAATAACAAGCAGAGGGAGCCGGTGATTCTGAGACTGGTGGTAAAGGATGACCAATCACGATCATTGGTCTGCGTCAATGTGGAATGGCATTTCAACTCACGAGACACAGGATTTGGGGTTGGGGGTGGGACAGATGGTGGTCGAAGATAGCCGAAAAACGAAAAACACATAGGTTTACTTAGTCGACGGAAGGCCAGAAGCGAAGTATAACGAATGCGTGAACAATGATCCTAATGGATTTTGTGTGAAAACCCGTGGATTAGTGAACCAGGGTAAAGAGTAGGAAAAAAGGTTGCTTAAGAAATCACATAAGTTGGAGGCCGGAGTTCGTTGATGAGGACACTATAAGACAAGGCCAATAAATTATAAGGGCACAGATGTGACATGGCAGCAAGTGCTAATAAATATGTCACATTTTGAGAGTAGTCAAGCCAATTGGCACACGGCAGAGGAGACAGGCCGGATATAAGTTTACTCTACCTGCTCCAGGTAACTGAGTCAAAGGGAAACATATAGGGCGCGCCATGATAAAGCGAGCAATATAGAGCGAATATCTTAAGTCTCTCGCTCTCAGAACATACACGCACATACACTCACCTTGCTTGATTGACGCACACAGACTCGGTAACTAAACCCACTACTCAGTTATGGTTACGTCACCATGCGTAAACTGACGACGACTCAATTGCATTCGAAAAACCGGAGTGATATAATGTTACTTAAGGTCTCTCACATGGTGATCTCAATTTTCGCTTGACCAAGCAAACGAGCTAGGCTGAACTGTGTTCACTCCGATCATTCACGGTCTCATGAATGGTGTGGTCTCAGTACAAATGATGATAATGAACTCACCAAGGAAATGGAATGCAATCGATGTTGGTCTTGTTAAACGCAGTTCGTCAGCTACGTGTGGTGAATTCAAACGTTTACTTTCCGAGAGAATGATACCTGTGCAGTCTACCGTGAAGAAACCGAGGATCAAAATCATGGATACAGGTTTCAGTAATCCGCAGACCTGTGACAGCCGAAGAAAAGGATCTCGCCCAGCAGAATGTTGTTCAAGCAGATTACCGCTTGAAATTTGATGTACCAACTTTTATGAGTACTTCCGCCCATGCTTTCATCCATTTGAATTTCACCACGGTATTGCATTAAAATAGTGACAGAGGGAAGAATGCATTTCTTCGAACGGTTGGTTGAGTCACTGAAAACGCGACTAACTTTGTGCAAAGACTCTATTTTTCTAGACTACCTGTACTCCATCTTCATGGTGGAGTAAATAGTAGAAATCAAATCTACTGGGCTGGAGACTATCTGTGCTTTGTAATGGATACGCATCACTGTTTACCCCCGAAAGTAGTCGCATGGTTCGGCATACATTGTACGACCCTTGTGGAACCGTACTTTTTCTCTGGAATTGTGAACGGTTCAACATATTTGCAAATGTTATCTCAATTTCTCTTCCAATATTTGCCATCATTGGAAGATGATAAACGTAGCCGTATATAATTTCAACAGAGTGGAGCTCCGGCTCACTTCATAAAGCCCGTTAGGTAGTGGTTAGATGGGCAGTTTCCTGGTCAGTGAACTGGAAGAGGCGCGCCTATCACGTGGCCAGCAAGATTTCTTGATCTATTTCTTTAAGACTTCTTATAAAATAGATTGAAAAGTATGGTCTACATACCGCAGCCGAAAACACTGGAGAACCTGGAGAAAAACATTCAACTGAATTCAGGATACATACCAACACAAGATGCGGAAAATAAAAAAATTCCTGTTGGAAGGGTTCAAAAATGCATGGACGTTTAGCGGAAAAGATTTGAACGTTTTTCGACCCGTATGAAATTGTTTCTTCATCAAGGAAATATACGTGCACATTATGCTGACTTCACTTCACTCTTCGTTTAATAATGGTAAATCCAGATGTGATTCCAAGAAACTATCTTACGTCGTTCATCAGAACCCCGTTTGTACGGAGACTACTCCATTCTTGAGACCGTGAATGATCGTAGTGAACACAGTTCAGCCTAGCTCGTTTGCTTGGTCAAGCGAAAATTGAGATCACCATGTGAGAGACCTTAAGTAACATTATATCACTCCGGTTTTTCGAATGCAATTGAGTCGTCGTCAGTTTACGCATGGTGACGTAACCATAACTGAGTAGTGGGTTTAGTTACCGAGTCTGTGTGCGTCAATCAAGCAAGGTGAGTGTATGTGCGTGTATGTTCTGAGATTGAGAGATTTAAGATATTCCTTCTTTATCGCCTGTTAACCTTTTTCTTTATAATGACATACCCTGTAGACGGTTAGTCGTAACATTGGTTGTGGTGGAAAGTACATATGGAGAGCACAAACAGTTGAACCACGCTTGGACAGAGTGGGAATTTCCACAAGTAAATTTGTATCGTATATGATTAGAATAGTGGGTGGACTATAGAAGTAGACAACTGTTAGCAGGTCGATAAGCGGCCAGAAATCCTAAGTATTGTATCAGTGTACTACCTGTATAAGAGGTTTGAACTGGTTATTAAAAATGTCCCTCAGCCAAGAATTCTCAAAAATCCTTTATTTTCCAGGCCAAATGAATATATGAGATAGTCAGTATTCAACTGTAATGATTAAAATTCAGGAAGAAGTGTTTGCCAAACGCCTACCAACTATCTGCCTCCGTGGTAACAACTACGAAGATCGTTGATCAATAGGACAGAAGAGCACAGTCGGGAGATGAGTAACAAAGATTATTAGAAGCTCTGCAGCCAGTAGATATCGACGAGTCATTCAGAGCAATCTACCAAGCCCCGACTAATGTCTCGAACCGAATTAGAAGCTTCGCGCTTTATACAGTGGGGGTAGTAAGCTCGTAAATCGACAATCCCGGCAGATGGTAACATAAATTTGCTCTCTGTAACCCAAAACAGTCGTGGTCACAGCATATCGCCACAATGTAGTCGTTAGCACAGTAGGGCAGTTACAAGGAGCATGTTCATCCTGCCCTAGTATGACCCCCTCCCTCAATGTTGGTTCTATCCAAAGAACTGACTGTCTCAACTACTCGTTTAATTTATAGAAATGTAGAGACTTCAAAATCCATTACTTTACTGGTCTTTGCACACATCTCAAAATTACTTACAGGTCTTCTCATTGTTTGGGGTATAATATGACTGTCAATGTTGATGGTTCAACGAACAACTTCTTGATATAATTAGACTTTATAGAATACCTAATTTACGGTCTGTAATAAAATGTAACCCATTCTACAATGCTTCCTGAGCTTTTCGATCATGAAGGCGTGCTTGACCACTGGCCACAGCTGTGACTGGGTTCACCATTGTGATTGTGAATTCGAGATACACTACTGATGAGTAGACAAATGTCATTCTGAGTTGTTTCCGGTTAGTTGACACTGGTCACATGGATCGAACAAGAAATAAAATCGCTATAGGAATTCAAGGAATATTGCACATAGTAGTGTATGTCGCAATCATTTTCACTAACCTTCACTCAATGACTCACAGTTCATTTTGTGGCACTCCAACTTTGACGATAATTGTAGGAACTACACGAATTTATCAGGGAGAAAGCCACACAGCTTCCGGACGACGTTGGTGCGGACTTCAAGATCATTTGTCAACAGGTCTCTCAACAGAACGCATTCGAACAGGACTTCCAAGCAACGGAACTACAGGTGACTATTTTGCTTGATTACTTCAAGTAGATAATGGGGATTTCATCAGCGTATTCTCATTCAAAATCTGTAGTAAAACCAGCTATCTTGCTGGGCAGTTACTCTACCATCTGCGCTATCACGCCACGGTCAGTCGGGCTCGAATAACGAATTCAGGAATACAGTGATCCGCAAACACTTTACCTAATGGTGCTATTCCACTGATCAAAATCAGGACAGTTGCTTTGTACCACTCGAATAGTAGTTTCCAATCACTGGATATTCACTTGCGTGATTCGCGTCTTTAGCGGCCGTAGTGCGATAGTTCAGCAGGTAGTGCAACCGTCCAGTGGGTCGAAGGTTGCCGATTCGATTTCGGCTGGTAGTTCTGTTAGTAAATTTTATCATTGCTTTGATTATAAAACAGCACGAAACACAGACTATTTGTATTGCTAGCGATTCCTCTGACCAGGAGGAGCATTTTGATGCGAACTCGATGTTCCCCTGTCCACATGCTTATCTTCTTTCTATCCGTCCATTTATCTAATTTTCTGTTCACTGGCTTAAACTGTCATGTGTTTCCGTTTGACACCTAGTTGCTTGTCTATCTCAGGCGTAGTTAAATGGTTACTTTTAACCATTTTTGATGAAGTGGTCGTCATAGAGAACTTGGAGTTCCGGGGTTTGAGCAATCCCTCCACCACCGGACACCATTTTCAGTAGGTCCTAATTCGTCTTGACTTCCTTAGCGAAATGTACCATCATTGTGTAGTTAAGAATGGAAGTAAAAACTTTGGCATTATCGTTACATCTTTTCGCACACTGGGCCAAAATTGCTTATGCAGGTGCAGATGATCAACCAAAGTGCGGAACAATTACTGCCATTGTATGCTGGCAAATGGACAGTTCGTCTGACTAGAGCACGCGATAACCTGATTGGGTTGATGAACGAGTTGCGTACGCGGATGCAACGCAGACGGAAACGACTAGAAGAAGCGATTACTCTACACAGATGGTTAACCACAGTCAATGAGATAGTTCGATGGATTCAGAATACTCGCACAGAAGTAGGTCACATGCTCAGCCCGGAGGAGAATTCAGAAATCACTCGTACCGAAATCGGATACATGCGGTACGTTATGGTGACCCGTTTTTAAGTTCAGTAGAAACGCTCATCTTGCGCTTTCTTGCACGAAGGTGAGGAATCCAACAGAATCAAACTGAAAACTGTATTTTCAATAATAACCTGGACTATTATTATCATCACTATTATTAATATTATTATTATTGCCTTTATTATTAACACTAATGTCATTGGGGTGATATTGACACTTTCGATGAAGATGATTATGAATCCGAGCTTATCACATTCTACCGCAAAAGTCACTATCGAAAACATTCAAATTATTTCTCCTCTAGCTTCTGCTCTCTATAGGTTTTCTTGTCGTTTATTAACCACGGGCAATCGTTTGGTAGGGATCGCGGCCTAGGGTAGAGTAACCAAACATTTAAGATACACCCACACCACGCAAGGGTACAACGCTGTCCTATTTGTGGGGCTTGTTAGGTTTGTGCCGGTCACTATCTTGAATATGCAGGGACAACAAGGGAAATGTTCTTGGTTAGTCAAAGGAAAACGGGTTTACACATCCGAATAATTCTTTGAATGTCCAATAACATTGAAATGATGACTGTCAAATGCAGCTCATTAGGCGAGTCAAGCCGGATTCAAAGTTTATTTACAGACCTACATGAACTTTTCGAACCTGCGTTCTTTGACGGTCTAACCTTCCGGAAAGCGGCGAATTAGATCCTCGCACAAAGCTACCATGACTGCATCTGGAACTGAAATCTCGCACATGATGTGCCCTTGCATTGTTTGGGTGTATCGGTAAGTTTTGATCACTGTATCCTAGGCTGTAATCCCAAAATGATCAACAGTGGCTACTAAGCTGTTGATGAAGGCAACTCAACGGTAGAAAAGCCTGTAGTGGTTGGAATATTTTGTTGACAGACATCGCCATAGTTACTCAGCTTTGTGAGTATGATCAAGCACACGACCACGGTAATTTCGACGATTTAATTTGAAGTGGTAAGTCGCGCATTTCTTCGTACTTAGAGCCGAAAAGCCCTTTCACGTTTGTGTGGGAATGTGAGTCCCGTAGAAACGATTGTTTGCTTGTTGTACGACTATCGTCTTTGATGAACGTAGTCCTGACAACCAAACAGAGTTGCTTACGGTTGATCTCGCTCTCACCAAGGTATATTGACATTTCTACTCTAAGAAGTGATTTATTTTATATTCCAAGTATAATCACGTCAAATGGCGCACATTTCTGATGCACGGGATATCCTTCTAGGGAAATCCCACGCTACTCACTCCTATTTGAACCGCTGGCAAACTCGGTTGGTAACAACGGTAGAGTAGACGAATACTTTTTGGGACTCGTGGGATGTAGATTGTCTGATTGATTGTTAACAGCCATCCTTACTGTTCCATATTACGTACGCCAATGTATACTCCCCATAAATCTGTTTTGCTCTCCCGTACTTTTTCCTAGTCTGATTGAAAAGGACTACATCACTTTCGTAGAGGTCTATGCATCATCAGTCTTGTTTCTGGCATAGCCTTGAGAGACCTCGTGTCAAACTTATATGATAAGCACAGTATAATATCCAAGGTGGTTGCCGAAAAGATCATCTCTGACCGTCCATATCTACTGCATTGTGATCTTTTGCTCAGTCGATCTCACCCCTTGACCCGTTCTCTGTTTTGAACTTATTCCTCCAAAATTATTGCTGCACAGATCTGTCGTAGTTCCGTCGTTTTGCTCGTGCTTTACCGAACAAGAATGAAGTTTTGTCTGAACTGGTAACCCTAATGGCGTGTAGAACTTATAGTCATTTTTATCGACGGCCTTTAGGCACCGTAAACTTGTGTTCAAGTCATGAAATGAAATCTGCCCACCCTGACATGACACACAAACAAAATGATGATTTCCTTCGTGTTTGAGTTAAATACTCGTTGTTAAGTACGACAGTCTGTGCAAGGGCCTGCCTGTGGGGGATGAATGTTCGTGTCGGTCCCTCACCTTCAACCATGTATTGACTATGGCACGTGTGAAAAACGCGAGTGATGAATTATTTCATTGAGTATTCGTTTTTCCAAGGCATACGGTGGTCACCAGTACATCCGCGTTGCTAAAGAACGAAAGACTTTAGAGACAAAACGAGACACATAGAGGATTGAGATCATAAGTTGACCCCTTACACTAAAGCACTGGTTTCGCTGAGGGAGGTCAGGGAAATCATCACATGAAGGTTGTTTCTACTGTCTAATTCACAAAAGGACGATTGCTGATTGCATAACATCGATCAAGCGTAACTCTAACTAAAGCGCTTCAAATTATTGCGCTCCACCTCTTCTTTCTCTAGCTATACCACAGATGTCCGTAACGTACGATTCATTTGAAAGACTTCGCTAGAGCTTGATGTTACATAGACGAGTCGTAGTCAATGAATCCATCACCAATGAGTTCCTCTACATGGTTATAAAGTGGTTCTGATTACCCGGATTATTACTGTTGCTTTTTCATATGTGATTTGTTGTGCAATTTGAAGATTGTGGGATGGTAAAACTTCTAGTTCCCATTTGGCAGCCTCTTAATAGCCGCGACTCCCTCACAGAAGTGTTGCACATCTTCGCGTAACAAACAAAGAAAAAAAGAATTCTGTCTTATTTACTTTTTTAAAGTTGTATTGTGCCAACTAAAAGATAGTTAAACAAATTTCTTCTGATAAGCGGCGGTGGTCAAATGAGCTTCGGGAAGAGCGCACCGCTCAAATCCCAACATCACTCGGCCTTGTTACACCCTCGTCAATATAGACGCTTTTTTATTGCTACCAAGGCAACACATGTGAGTTTTGATGGGTTCCATCCTTGACATCACATTTTGGGATTAGAAAGGTTGTTACAGTTCTGAGTGACGATGTGAAAAGTTCGAATAACAACGGGAAAACACGTACGTGGCCCAAATAAACCATCCTGTTGAATGATCAAGTTCGTAGTAGCACAATTCGTGAACAAAACAGTGATTCACCGGTGCCATATTCAAAGCAAAGTCATCTACCAGGTGCTGTGAGATAACAAATTACAGTACACGCTAGATATGTTCTCATGGAAACTAAATTAGGTACTCGAGACAAAATTATAAAATGTTCATCAGATGATCTTGTTACTAAATATAGGAACAAAATAAATAGTAAAAATGAACCAGTGGTAGACAGTTTGGAGATGCTGAAGCAGTAGAACAATAATGTACATGAATACTATTTAGTTGCACAACCTTTAGGGAAATTGGTACTTTCCCCTGAACTAATAGCACTGTCTTGGGAAAGCTGGATGCTCCGGCCAAGAACCTACAACTTAGAAAATAAAATATATGGGAAGCTAAGAAAAGCAGAGATTTTATGAGTTTTCGGTGGTTTTAAATTTAGTAGACTATATCATTCACCAGCTTCTTCATCCTCTCAAGTAGTCATACAGATATTTATTTTGTGACTAGACTATTTCAGCAAAGTTCCGATGCAGTTTTTTAACGTATTTGTGCTATTTCAGCTAAGCAGTGCCCAAAGCAATCTGGGTGTGACAGAGCATTACTATATTTTTCCAGTAATCACCGTAATTACTATCATTACAACTATTATTGCAAACGTACCTAACGCGTCGCCTTCTTGATCCGTCGTTTCCAAACCAATCAGGTCCACAGAATCGATTCGTGCTAGTCTAGGGCTCTTGTTTCATTATCATACGGAGATGAATGCACGCGAAGAATCGATCCTGTCGTGTTTGCGCAGCGGCGAACAGTTGTATCATACATTTCTCAATCAGAGTAAAGAGACTTATGGGAGCATGCAAACCCCGAACCCACGACGTCCGACACCGATTATTGTGATCGACAATCAGTTAGATATGAATTCGAGCGAGACACCTACCTCACCGGACAGTCTCCTCAGCAGACCTACGGTTGGAGAGGATCCTCAAACGATTTCCGCTGAACGAGATGAGCATAAAGCAATCGAGTCTCGACATAGAAGGAATAGTTCGCGCGCGGATAGTTCGTCCGGGCAGGAAAGACCATCGTCTTCATCTACAAGGTGCAGTGAGATCAAGTCAGATCAGTCTGTGGCCGGCAGTGATGACCTGACTGATGATGAAACGATCGATCACGAGAACAAAGGACCCGGAGCATCAGAGTCGGGATTCGTTGTTTCTAACTCAGATTTGTCCCCGCTCTCTCCAACACCTTTACCTTCAACCGCGCAGACGTCTTCTGCCCCCGTTTTCGGTTCATCGAATGAAGTGAAGCGGAATATGATCGACGTAATCACCATATGGTGTGAACTGCAACAGTTTTGGTGTGAAGTGTGCAAACGATTGAAATTTCAGCTATGTGCGGCATCGTTCGCCTCGTAAGTTATTAGAGAAATTGTGATATATCACAACGCATACGCATATTATGCAAATACTTAGCATGAAGACGAAGGTGTGAAGTGAGTTGCATGATGTTCATTGAAACAATTCGTTCCTAACAGAACCCCGTTCTCAGCTGAATGAGTGAATGCTATGACTAAATTGCTTGTCTTGATGTCTTTCTGTGTATCCGTTCCCATGTATTTCCATGTGGGTGTGCCTGTCCTTTGATGGGAAGTTTTAGTCAAGTGGACTTACTTGAGAATGAAACCCGCTCCCCTCTTCCAAGTATCTTGGTCACCATTGTCACATCAGTGGTCTTCATCTACTGACCGGTATGTGAGCAGTGGTTTTATGTATATGTGAAAGTGATTTGGCGAATTGTGTTGATAGTCTTTCTCCTTGCATGTGAGTGCACATTTCGTTGTGTCTTATCCGTGTATTATTTCTTTCGTCCGACAGAGTCAACGGCCCCAACTGCACATAACTGGTGTTGTCGGTCAACGCAGGTCTAGAAGTTGAGAACAGCAGACCTCAGAGCACCGACTGGTTTGTATGCATTACTTAATTGACATTAGCATTGCTGGGTGCAGTTATCCAAATCAAATTTATGTTGTACAAACTTCGAGAAATTTCAAATAAGCATAATAATATGAGAGGCCAAAGGCTGTTCCCAGAAGTCTCGTGAAGTGCATTTCACCTGGCATATTGTCCGCCTGTGTACAAGAATAAAACTGACACCAAGAAGCGGAGCAATTCTTGCACCGACAAACCATATAGGATGCCATGGGAGGGACGTACATGAAAGTCATTTTATTTCTTGGTGCTTCTGGTAGATGGTCAGTAGCCATGACAGTGACTTTAGGAGTGATGATTAGACACATGGAGACAAACAGGTCAGCCGTGGTAAACGGTTGGGAACAGTGGAGCTGTAAGTCGACCAGTTGTACCAGGATTTGAATCAGCGACTTTGGCTTAACCAATCAGTGACTATATATCAGTGTGAGTGTCTCGGATGTAGCTCAGAAATTCACGGAGTAGAATTCCTGTACAATTTTAGCTATCCTGTGATGGGTTTGGTTTATATATATATATATATATATATATATATATATATATATATATGTTTACGCACGAGTGTAGTGGAAGGGGTATGCCTCATGGCCTGTAAAGATCACTGCCCTATTGAGGCAGCTGTGACCCTCAGACTTGTAGTGATGATTCAGATAACGTCCCAGTAGCTCAAGTGTGGAAACAAGTCGTGAGATAGCGGAATAATATTTTTCACTAAAGTGACGAGCCATGGCGAGATTCAAACCATTTGAAGGCATGAACAATAATATAAAACATGAAGAGAGATGCTGCACTTCATTGACTAACTATATAAAACAAAATAAAGTAAAGCATACATTGATTTGCTTGCCGTGAACCAGCAATTCATAGTGGCAATTTTGGGGTGGCAAGTTGTTATTCAGAGGACCTGAAACACGTTGGCAATTAGCGAATCATTAAAAGTGCAGATCAGTCGTCTACGTTTGATAATACTCAATCATAGAATGGAAATGTCAACAACAATGTTGACTTTTAGTTCAACGACCCAATTTTCCAGTCCAGTAGCATTGATGTAGAACTTCTTAGAGTCTTGAGGAGTCGAAATCATATAAACACTGGAAAACTCACGAATCTTCTCCGCAGCGAGTCAGAATCAAATCTGTGACCTTTCGTTTACCGGAAATTCGCTGTACCAGCTGAAAGCCGCAGGTTCGATTTCGGCTCACTGCGTGAACGTTTTGATGCGAACAACTGAATAATGTCGTAATTGATGCGGATACTGCGAGATTTAGGACTGACACATGGTCGATAGACAGCGAAGTCCCATTAGCAGAGAGAAAGTCACCACCTGCCCACAATCCAGGTCAAGGCTTGAGTCAACGGATTCGCAATCTGTAGGACTGCGGATCGATAAAACGAGAAATCATTCACGTCGGGAGGCTATATCACCAATCAACCAATCAGAAGAGAGATTATCCAATACAAGGTTGAACCAATTGATCTGTGTTGAAATGATTCGCGACAGTGATTCCTACTTTCTATATAAACAGTGCATTCTCAACTAATAAACTGAGGTAATTCGCAGCAGAAAAGTCTTCTAGATCGGGTTAGTGGGACAGTTCAGAACAGTTAATCGAACTGGTGAGTTTACGAAGCTTCTTCTAAAGATTTATTCTTTGTGTCTCAGTCATTCAGGTGATCATTTGCTTCAAAATGCATACTCGATGAGTATGAATAACAAAACTATTCGTCTGTAGTTGTGCCTTTCTCGGACAAATGTTGTCACTGTCTCCTCTTGCTGACTAATTTTCACAATTTGTTTAGTGAAGCAGATGCAGCGGAACAATGGTTGGAAGTTCATGAAGCTGATCTACATTTGAACGAAACAGGCGATTCCATCCAATCTACTGTTGCTTTGATCCAGCGACACGAGGCTTTGGAGCACAACTTGCTTCTTCAAGCAGAACGGTTTGAACGACTCAAACGACCCACACAAGTAAGTGCAAATGTAGGATGGAATTTACTGGATCGGTCAACTGATTGATCAGTTAGTCCGGCTAGCGAGTTTGTCGACTTACTGGCCTGACACCTGGAGATTGATTGACTGATTGATTAGTTGCTTTAAGCAATTAAGTGACTGACATTTTGTAAACAGGAGCTGATAGTGAATCTCATCCTTTTTGATTTTCTTATCTTATCAAGATGGAACTATTGGACACGACCCCCGCAGATTATTCGGTTTTGGAAAAAGCTGCTTCAGGAGCCGTTGTGAGCGAGGAGACATTGAGCATGATCCTAGCTGTCCCTACCGTGGACTCAATGCTCCGGCAGTTTGGTTTGGAAGCTGAGATTGATTCTACCGCAAAAGATCATGCTGACCACCAGGAAGCTATTGTGAATAAATCGTCCGATGAAGAACTGGACAGTATCGTTCAAGCAGTTTACACAGGTCAGTCTTTCAATGGTCGCCTTTCTCATTGTTTTTTTCACATGTACTCAACTCATAAATAGACTCGTTATTGACAAATTAGGACTTTTTCATTCACTCCTACACACTGCACAAAAGGTTATTTGATTACCAATCTGAAAATACAGATGTGATTGAAAAATAGGAGTTTGGGATGAAGAAACGAACAATTTCGAGATCGTAAATATTTACGGAAAAATTTGTCGGAAAGTGTACGTGTCTAATGATTCCCTTAAACATACCAATTGGTATTGGGAGAAATGCTGATGCACCTATGCATTATATGGCAAAAAATCACCTGAAAAAGGTAGAGTTGAATAGGTGAGCTTTTTTAATCAACCCGGAGATTTGACTGTAATGAAGTGGGTCTGACCCAGACCTAAAAATACCGTAGTTGTGACCATGACGTCCCGGTAAAGTCAACCTATAGAATGTTCTAGTGACGAACAGCGAACGGAATTTGAACGCAGGTGCGTCCGATTTTGCCAGTTAAATGCAAGCTTAGGCTCGCGCACGCATAGTGTGGTCAAAAATTCTTTAGATATCCTGAGGAGACCGAAGTTCGCAACTTACCACTCTGTGGCTCATCGGTTTAAGTAATGTAAACGTCACTATGTAGTCTGTAAATTTGTCCAATGACTGTGGATTTCGGTCAAATTCCAGTTCGTGCTACTGGGAATATTGTCAGTAACAATCCAATCAGTTGCTATGGATTGGGAGGAAAACCCGATGGAACGTGTCCAAGAGCGAAGGATCAATGACACTGTTGCTTACGTTTTTCAGTCCCGTCAACGTCTTCCAAGTGAATATGCTAGTGTGCTGAGATGTCCATGCCATCTGGGTGCTTTGTACGTTTGTATGTTGCGTTAAATCAATTGGTTACGAACTGCATTGAACACGACAGCCATCTGATGGGTTATGTGGGGACTCAATATTTCATCCTCAGTCATTCGATTTCCTTCTTCGCTGATTGCTGTACCAAAATCTGCTATTGTCTTCTTTGTTCACTAATCTGTAGCCTTACTTGATATTCCCCTCTGCGATTCCATGGCTCTGTTCTAAGGAAGGTGCTACTTTCCGATCAAATAGATAACATTGTGAGGGTAGTCAGAATAGTCCCACGGTCATGGTCACATCAAGAACAAGACGCTGGAGAGCAAACAATTGTTTTCAATGAATCCTATGTGTAATTGAGTAGTAGGAGATTAGATTTGTATAATGATTCATCATGCAGCTTCAACGCTCAACTCATCATTGAAAACCATGGAAGCACTGTACAGCTGTCTCATCCTTGTTGGGAATCATCAGCAGTGCACATCCACCGAGCCCCCACGGGGACTCGAACCCGGGGTGGACGATTGTAAATCGAGCACTTTAACCACAAGGCTATCCGGGCTGGATCTCAATGGTTTGGTGAAAATCTACACTACATGATATAGCACCCTTCCCAAACTGGCTTTGTACGGTAACAACCCGCTTCCCGCACAGCGATCGACTCCCATGATGGATGACTTCTCTGTAGGGGCCTAAGTACAACGAAGACATTCCGTTATGAATAACCCATAGAGCTTGGTTCCTATTTGCAATTGAGTGGTAGGAGATTAGATTTGTTTAATATGATTCATCGTGTGTTGAAGCTGCGGAAACCACGGACCGCCGACCGAACCCCAAAAGTCCACCATCGATTACCACTCGTGACGGTGGGAGTGAAACTCTCACCACAACCCGCACACGATAGAGACACTCCTCCCCACCAACCCCTTTTTCCTAACGCCACGACAATGACCTTTACTCCGGCCAATGGCTAATGCATTCCAATGTTGCCTCACCCGTATGAATAGTAAGAGCACGTATAGGATTCATTGAAAACAATTGTTCGCTCTCTAGCGTCTTGTTCTTATTGTGAGGATAAATGATATGGGATAAGAGTAATAAATTACGTCATTTCATTTTACATCGCACCAAAAAATTAAATAAGAACTGTAGCATTTTACTGGAAATATCACATTGTGTCGTGTTATGTGAACTATTTTTCGAATCGACCTTTTTATTACTATGGTAATTTTTGACGTTAAACCAATTATTCTGGGTTATCCTTTATGACTAAGTGATGTGTTACTCGAAAGCAGACCGAGGTATTGTATCATGGAAATACCGGAGCACTGATGTTTTCCTTTTAATAAAAATAATAACACGTACGTGTGCCACTGGAACATCACACAAATATATTGATATGATGTATCCTATCTACAACACTTGCAGCACTGTTTCGAAATTAGGTCAAAATTATTCAGCAATGCCAGCTGACTTGCTGTTTGAGATTTCCTTCTGAATGATCTGAAGACCGGAGTATCTGTCACCTTTACATATTTCGCGTAGGTGACCACCCATGCTCTCGTAATCTGTGCACTGGACAACAGTGTGCGTCTACAGTTCCACACATGAACTCGACCTTGTCGTGACCAGAGCTAAGAGGTTGAGCAACTATCACGTGACCGAACCAAGTGATCGAGAACCGATCATTAATGAGACCAGCAGACAGAAGCAAGTCTCTCAGTCGGCGCTACGCGTCCCAAGTTGGCGAAATGGACAAAGAGGGTGGAGTCACACTGTGGTCAGAGACTGACTTCGAGGGTATCGATGGGAAACGAGAGCTACAGTGCGGTTACCATGGAGCAAATGTATCCTAATTTCAATCAATCTTCACTGTCACCGCGCGTTGATAAAAATTCTCTTGGCACACAAATGATACACCGCAGTTCAACGCGGTCTTTGAGTAGTTCGGTTACGTGATAGCTATTGAGTCTTTTAGCTCTGGTCACGACAAGGTTGAGTCCACGTATGTAACTGTGGACATACATTGTTTTGCAACGCACAGATGTTGGACGCATAGTGTGACCACTTACGCGAAATGTGTAGAAGTGACTGATATGTCGGTCTTAAGATCATCGAAGACGAAAACTCAAACAGAAAGTCGGGTGGCATTTCCGAATAATTTTACCTAACTCCAAAACAATGCCGACAATGGTGTACTTCATCGTAACAATCTACTGCTAAATGACTCTGTTAAACCAGTTAATTACATATTAAATGACTATTCTTCAAACAATAACTTCATTCCAAGACCACTGGTACACACAAGCTTCATTCGTCCGGTTGCTCACTTAGTTTATTGACATGACATACGGACCACTTTTCGGGGCGTATCCTAAAAACTAGATTTGTCTGTAGGTCATTCAAAATCTTGATGAATGAATTTCGCACCCTTAAAGCTGCTGCTCTTTCGAGCATTTTCTCACATCAAAGTTATCGACCTGCCGTCTTGTTCCCACGGAACCGCAATTAGTCATGCTGATGTCATAACCACTTTTCATACTGTTTCAACCGAAGTGGAATAAATTACCTATCTAATAATCTTCAAACCACTGCGAGCTATTCTGAAAGGCTTGATCTTTCCCTAAACCCCTCCAAGTGTTCCGAATGTAACTTTATACATCTCGACCATCTTCCTTGAACGACCAGTATACTCTGCGCACTATTCGATTACACCAAGTTTTATCTTTAAATTATCTCGGAATGACGCTAAGCACTAATATTCTCATGCCGTCAATTGCGTGCGCAAATTGGGCTAACTTTTCTTTCCAATTCGACAGCTCAAGAAAATTCTGCATCACAATTATCAACACATACTATCTCTCGCGAAACCGATAGTACTGTCACGAAATTGTCATTTATTGTCACCGATATCACCAATTTTCTTGTTCTTTCTTTTATTATTTTGATTTACATGCCTATAAAATATGCTGTATTTAACCAGTTGTAAAGCACCGAAAAAATCTTGTTCTCTACCGAGTGTTCTGATGTCTCAATCGAGTATTTTCAATTGATTCTGCGGTAAATTTACGTTCACTATTTCCTTTGTTTCTCAACGCACTTATCAAAACACCCGATTTCTACCTCCTAATATTTCCCAAGTTACCAATGCAGAATATGGTCAGTCGTGCACCTTCCAAACCGCATTTACTATATGAGCAAGAGGATATATGATCTGCACTTTGGTAATTGTGCAAAACTTGGTGGCTTCACGTGGACTTATGTACGATTCTCTTGAATTACCGATGGCTTGAACTCAACTCAAACAGACATAGTTACGTTTATCTTGATGATACGGTGTTTTCATTCCTCCGCCCTAATAAAAATAATAAGCCGTTCTAAAATTGTCGCACCCATTCCAGCAACGTTAGACGGTCCAAGACACCAACACCAGCGAGTCACACTCCACGTTTTGCACCCTTACTGTCTTCACCGAGTACCTTCCACCCGATAACAGCACTTGAACTAGCCATGCAGTTGAAACAATCAATACTGGACCATTCCCCTCGTCTTCTAATGATACTCAATGACTCTGTGGTCACAAATTAGCTCGGTTCTACCGGTTACGCCTTATCTCACCAGTCCATGTGCTGTAGTCAAGACGCAGCAGATACATGCGTACGACGTCACTGCCGTTGCATCGTTTGCGGACGTCGCGATGTAATCAAGGAGGCTTGCAAAAGGGCACATATTGGGTCAACAAACCACGATATACGCATGCATGTAACTCTGACCGGATTCGCTGGTATCCAAGTTGTGCGAGTGTTGTATAAATTTGCTAACTCGTTATTATGTATTGCCACAGGACAGCGAGGATAGAGAAAATTTATTCCGAATATATATATATATATATATATATATATATATATATATATATATATATATATATTATACCGGCTTGAGATCAGGCAAGGCGCCTACATAACAGTAACAATTACATAAGAGGGTAAGGGGGCGTACAACGCAGTAAACAGACAGCTAGTGTGAAGAAATAATGCTGATGTTATTTGGGTTTTACATCGTTCACATTTTTGATCTCTTTCTATCAATTTGTTTGTCGGAATAACATTCTCATGGTTACGAGACACAAGAGTTTAACAGACAGACTA